CAACACAGACTGCAGCTCACTTATGAGGAGGCGGCTTCCTCTTTGGATTTTCTTCTCCTGCGGTTTAAAAATGCATTAACACGAAAGAGAAGTAAACAACATCTTCTAACACTGATGATTCAGATTTTTTCTCTCTCTAAATTTAAGGGAATAATTTCGTATAACCTATACATGCTTGACCTATATGCATGATGTTGAAAACTCAATTTATGTAGCAGCTGGAGAGGAGGGAGAAAAAGGAAGAAGTAGAATACCGCCATGAGAAAAAAAAAAAAAAAAAACAGAGAGAGAGAGAGAGAGAGAGAGGGACTAGCCTTTAATAGTTGGGAAAGGGAGGGAATGATGAGGTGGAGGGATGGAGGAGTGAGTCTCGGGGCGTCTATAATCAATCTCATACGCCTCCTCTGAATACAGTGCCTGAGGTCTCCCTATTACGGACTAAAAAAGCTAAGAAAGCAGTGAAATCTATATATATAGCTGAATACAATAATATGACAGCGAGAAATTAATTAAAGATCACGCAAACCTCTTGTGAAACAATGCAGAGAGAGGAGGAGAAAGAGGAACAAGGCAGACCTGATGAGCTCCATGGACCATGCCCCAGTATTGTATGTGGAGCAGTGTTACGAGGCTTCGATGATTTATAAGCACCGAGAAAAAAGAAGCAGAAGAAGAAAAGAGGTTAAATTAATGAGTGAGGCATGGCCAAAGGTCGATGATACGTGTGAGGCCCTTGGCTTTATTTTGAGGATGAAACGGTCGCCTTCGGCACAGCAGCAAGTGAGAAGGTGTGATGCAGATGGGGGTTGGCTCCATAACATGCAGACCCCTCAGTGTTTCTCGTGATTGGGGCCAACAATTGCATGTGTCTGTAACTCACTAACTGCATCCTAGGGACCTCAACCATTAAACTTCTTCTCTTCAAAGGGTTCATGTGTTTGCTACTTTTCTTCCAAATGTATACCTGTTGATCCAGTTCCTGTTCATTTTAGTGTTTAATTATCTGGTGGTTGTGTTAGTTCAATTTTAAACCATCACTGAGTAACTGACCGGCATACGGTGACGAACCCAGGAATTCTGAATCGTGGGAGCATTATATATTTTACAAATATAAAGACACACTTGCAATACAACAAAATCAATCAGAATAAACTACAAAAAATATTAAATATACATAAGTTTTCCCTCTGAGATTTTTTCCTGATTAGCTTTTTCTATGAGATTTCATATACCATCAAAAAATTCTATATCTATATGAGTAGCCAAACAACCATTCAATTGGAGCCAGGAGTGAGTGACACCGACACAACGAGGAAGACACGGTTGAGTTGAGTTGAATAGCAAAACTAAATCAGGATGCCGACTCATTGCAGAGAATCGTTTGGTGGAGCAAAATTTTTGGGCCCATCTCATTGGAGTACGATAGTGTGAAGAGCTATTCAGTGGTTTGGTTTACTCGCTTTCTAAACTAAAGTGGAGCGGGAAGAAGTGGGGGAAAATAGAAGGGGCAAAGCAAGTTTCAATGGGAAAAAAATAAATACCCACGAATAAAATAATGAACATAAAATGTGTGACATTTTTTTTTTGTGGGCCATGACAATTATGAGTAAAAAAATTGATGAAAAAGTTAAATAGCATAAGAAAATAACATTATTAATTACCGGGGCTATTAATATTTATAAGATGGGGGCATATGATGCATATATTACATATATTTACCAAAGAAACTGCAAAATTTCTGTGGGGACAATTGCCTCCTCTATACTGCTGTGGGTTCGTCCCTATGGGGGTATATGTAGCGAAGGCAAGAGATGAAATGATATACTCTTCACTTTCCAATGTAAAATATAAGACATTTTATTAGGTAGTATAGGTGCAAAATGTAGAACACTTTACAAGAAGTCAGTAGTATTAAATCATCTTTTCACAAAAATATCTTTATTAATTATACTGTAAAAAATATTACATGAGAAAGAATTAAAAATAATTAAGATATGTTTGTTTTAATTGGAAGACGATCTTAAAAACTACAGTAATGATGTTACCCCACTTTCAACTACTTTTCTTAATTCTGGGGGACAGTTTAAAACCTTACATATTTTGAATAGAAAGGAGTATCATGTGTCTTAAGCGATGGGAGCATGTTCCAAGCAACCCATTATGGGGGGGGAGAGAGTACATGGAAGAGACAATAAATAATTTTGTGATGAATCTGAGACTGTAGGTGGACAGGCACATGGACATGGTGCAATTTGGCTAGCAATGGCATGCATGGGTCCAAGACGAGCCAGTCGCCTGGCAACGACCGAAAGGTTTCGACACTTTGAACATTTATGATGGCCACCCCGAAAGTTCACACTCACCTGCTCTTCATTCACCAAGCCCCCGCTTGTCTTGGTTTTTTTTTTTTTTTTTTTTGGTTTGGGGGAAGCAGAATTATTGGTGGGCTTGAATCATGGACTCCGCTACCACCAAATGATGGAAATACGTCTCTGCTTGCCTTGCCGCTTCAAAGCAACATATGTTAATGACAATATGCGAGTTTAAATTGAATAAAATATGGCATTGGCATGACGAAATGAGTTAACGATTTTGTCGAAGAATTTCATTAGGTCACGCAGATCAAGGCCATTGGGCTCTCAGGCCTCAGCGTCCCGTAAAATTAGGTCCACACCATTTTACTCGATGACCCTAATTGTGCTGCGCTCCAAGGCACCGATAATTGAATTAATAATCAACAAAAAGTACATTGGCTTGTTTAACTGACCTTCATAACTTGTTGACTGCGCTGGGCATAAAATGCAGTGCGTAATGAATAGGGTCAATAATTCGAGCCAAATTCGATAGGTTAGCCCGAATCCATCTGAAAAATTTTAGAGCCGGACTTAAAAAAAAATATTTTTTTATATTTGGGTTGGCCCAAATAAGCCCAAAAAAATTCAGGCCAAGCCCAATCGAGTTCGGGCTTGGCCCGAATACCCGAATAAAAAAATTATATTTTTAAAAAATATAATAAATATTAATTAATTCTTTAAATTTTAGATTATTTTATATTAAAATACTATATATTTGAGTTATAGATATCATTTAAGTATTAAAAAAATATATTTTATATTTTTTATAAAATAAAATAATTAATTTTAAAGTAAAAAATTAATTAAAAATGATTTTAAAAATTAAATTCAGATATTTAAGTTGGGCTTAACTATTCAAGTTTTTTAAAAAATTGAACCTGTTCAGGTCAGATCTATTCAGGCCGAGCCTCAATAGGTCCAACCTATTTAAATTCGCGGCTCTAGTAATGACCAGAGCAATAGATGAAGACGGAGCTTGGACAAAAAGAGCTGTCAATATTTCAAACGACATCTTGTCTAGTGAAATCATTGTGTAAATATTCTGTTGACTTTTATTACAAGATATAACAGCGCCAATTAAGGATAAAAAAAATAGTGAAAGGAAAGTGAATCAAAAGTAAGTTTGCGATACTCAAACGTGGAGTAGCTGGTTGATTCAGTTGGTGCATGGGAGAGGGACAAAAAATGGACCACCAGTGGTGAACAAGTAGTGATCAAATTTGCTGTCGCTTCTCATCTTATCATAAATGCCTTGTCACGCAGTGTCACGTGCCATTAACTCTTGCAAATTTCAACAATTCCATCAACCTCCCTTCTCACATGCATTTATAACATCATATGGACCACCCAATAAGATACCCGCATATCTTCAGGACCACTCCATTTTTTTTCCGCCTCTGTAGCAAGGTTTATGCTGCCTTCAGTATTAACAGAAAAATATGGCATAAGGATTAAGACGTGAAATATTTAGTACTCTCTCCATTCAACATGACATTTTTCCCAAAGTATCATGTTAAAAATATAAGAATGTGTAATTTTAAATATTATTTACTTACTGAGAGACATAAATTAGTTAAAAGCAATTTACAGATATGAATGAAGGGAGCAGAAAAGACCACAACGGGAAACTCCATTGGAGATTCTTAAATTAAGATATCGAGCGCTAGGCTCTTCAAACTTGACTGCGTGTAGCTTCACGGGTTGACATTCTTGTTAAATAGTATTTCTCCTTTTCGGCCATTATATCTATCTTTTTCCGATCTCAAACATCAGACATTTTTTAATAAAGTTAATTAATTTTGATATACTAGTTTGTGTCATGTGCGATGCAGTCTTCCCAACCTTCAACCTTCGTCGTCTTAATACTTTATTCTGTTTTAAATCTTCCGGGTACATTGTGGAATCTCACACGAGTTAGACTTAAATGAAAAATGTACAACAATTTAATCATAAAAAATCCTACCAAACTTTGGCCAAATGTTATGCCAAACATGCATTTAATATTAAACAAAGCAAACACTTCCAACTATCTTTTTTTTTTTTTAATAAACATATCTGAAACTATCTGAGTTCACAGAAGATAAAAAGCGGTTCGCCTCAGAGTCACAAAAGCAATAAACTATTAAACATGCAATAAAGTAACTTTGTTTGCAGTCCCAGTTTCCACCAGCGAGGGGAAAAGGTGGGTCAGAGTATCAAAGGTACTTTAGAAATGGACGAAGTTCGATGACATGAACTAACAGTCAGACCAACACAAAAATATACAGATAAAAAGCAAAACCACAGATCAGCGAGAGACTTTCTTCATTTTCGTAACATCGTTTTAGCTTCTTCTCTACAAACACATCAATTGCGGTAGCCTCCACACCACTGACTGATACAGTTTATGATAGGAAATAAGAACTCACATTCACTAAAACATGTCTGTGTTTTTTCCCCCTCCGTGTCTATGTCACTCTTAGAGCTATGGAGATTCTCTCCCGTACAGCTCCAGATGTCCGAACAGTGACTGTTTTCAGGGAAGACAACTTTTTACGACTATTATGTACTCATCTACACCTAGTATATAAATAGTGATCATCACGGGAAATTAAATTAAAATGTTATATGCAGAGTAATGGAGATGGATAGGAATTGGTTAATTAATCACAAATAATGCGGCGAGCATGAATCTGCCAAACCCAGCCTTCTCCTTTTCCAGAAATTTAACTCGGGATCGAGTTTCTGAGAGGTTCTTGCCGGCTCCGATTTGCACCTCGTGAGTATGAGAGGACGTGCAGAGTCTCCCCCTTCATCCCCTCTCTTCAAGTCTCGAGCGTTTTCGGATTTGATGACTCTACCTTTGATTGAATCTTCAAGCTCTTTGAAAAACCCAGGATTTTGCTCATCTCTCGGATCCATTCTCACTTCTTTATCGGAAATTGAGTCCATCTGGGAGGTGGGTTTATAGTGATCAGTCTGTGTTCCGTTTTGCAATTCCGTTTTCAGCCCCTCCTCTGTTTCCTCACCATTTACTGGCGAGCCCCAGAACCTAGAAGCCAGAGACGAAGATCTGTACGGTGCGGATCTACATCTAGTCAGTAACAAGGCGTTCTTCGGCGGCGTAGCCGGCACGGGAACATCCTCATTCGCATTCGCATTCACACTAGCCCGTTCTCGGAATCCCTCTTCCTCTAATTCGTAATCCTGAAGGTGCGTCTCTCCATTGTGCCTCTCCCTAAAATTCAAATGACTTGCAGCTGAATCTTGTCTGGCCTTAGTTGCTTTCCTTCGAAAACTAAATATGGGAAAGAGGCCACAGTTTGGCCAAAAGCATGGAAAATGACAGTGACAGAAACCAGGCCTGATTTTAACAGCGAAATGACGGCAAAAGAAGCCATGCCGGAGCCACCACGAGAAGCGGCGGGTGCATCCAGTGGGACTAGCGTCGCAGCGAAGTCGATTCCTTTTAGCGGCTGCATGATGATGTTTGGAGGAGCGTCGAACTCGGACTTGGCCTATGCAGGTGACCTTGGGGGAAGAGGGTTCCTGGGAATCAATGGCGGAGGTCTTCTTCCTGAGAAACATGGGGCTTGACCTTGACCTGCCCCGGCTTCGACTGGCGACGTTGGTCCTCAAGAAGCGCATGAGAGGCGGGGGAAACTTGTCGGTCCGAGCGGGACTGGAAATGGGTTTGGAAGAGGGCTTCATATTCATGGCGGGTTTGGAGGGAGTGAGGAAAGGCGACGGAGAGGGGAGAGAGAGGAGGAAGAGTGAGAAGCATAAGAAAAAGATAATGGTGTTTTGTGGGGAAGAAGCTTCTGCAAGTAAAATGATGGAAAGGCTCTATTTTTATTTCGTCGTTGCACGGGTGGGTGTCGCTGCCTGATTCCCTCTATATTCCCCCTCTGTTCGTTTCTGCTCGGTTTTACCCTCCTCTCATTTTTAGCTTTATCTCCGCTAGTAATTCGTTCCATTTTTCTCATTTAACTAATATTTAACTAGATACTGTATTTTTTTTTTTTACATAATGGTTTAGTTTCCTTCAAAAATTATCATTACTTTTATTCTTAAAAGTGTTTCTAATATGCAACGAAGTCACACTACTACTTTTGTTAATTCAATTCAAATTAGCATCTCTCTTAGCATGAGCGACTTAAATTTGATATTCGGCCAGAGAACTGTCTGATAATAAAAATACAAAATAATTATTTTTAGTTAATATGTATGATACTATGATAGCAGGGCTTCGGAATTCATAATATCTCAAAATAACAAGATACATTAAAGTCATAATTGAGACTGAAAAAAATATTGATCTAAAGCATTGCATAAAATTTATGATTTAAGAATAATATAACTCGTTATAATTTTGATATAACGTAGGTGGTCATAGATATGTTGACACTAAATGTGTAATGTGAAGATTCTGTGAGAAATGCAAGTGGCAATTTGGGCAAAGTGATGGCGAATGGGCTAGGGAACAAGACTAGTTAGTGTGATGGGAGCGATTGAGTGTGGCATCGAATCACACGTGAGAGGCCATTCATGTGTGATTGATTGATGGGGTGTTTGGAGTATGACCGCCTTCCCCAATACTGTTCTGTACTCACTGCTGCGCAATCAATCAACAATACTGCTGCTGCCCCTGGCACACTCCTTCCTCTCCTCTGCTTATTTCTTTCTCTGCTTCAAGCTGATGGCACGTCTTTGTTGCTCTCGTGTAGTGCCAGAGATAGATGAAGGCAATGCTTCATCAACATGAAATATTAATGCAACATTTGAAATTGATTGTCAGCTGTTGTCTGGCAGCACTAAATCCTTGCTTATCACAAGTTCAAGAATTGATGATACCCAGCAGAGAAATCATGTCAGTGTCCTCAAAGTCAGATCAAATGGCTTAATTCATACAATGCAACCTTCCTAAATCCTTTCAAATGCCACATCAAATGACGTTATTTGGAGGCTTCTGCATGTTTTTTCCTCGCACTCAACATCACAAATGGCGACTTCCAGAACAGAGAACCCAAAATAAGCATCGGCAAAATTAAAGCCGAAGGCAAGTGAAGTGAGCGGCTCAGAAAAGTTGAGCTAACAGCTGTAGCTTGGCCTCCGACTTAGATTCCCTTGCAGCTTTTCCTCTAATTCTTCAAGTACATTTGGTTTCTCTTGACACAATTCAGGTAAACAAAATTTGCCCAAAATAAAATAATTTTTAATGTGATATTAAATAAGCTTATTTTTCTAATTTCATAATAAAAATACGAAGATTATTTTCATTTGCTGCTTTTTTTTATATTAATTGATCAGATGCTTAACAAATACTCCATGTATCAGCGTATTACTAAAGTAAATTACAGTGTTGCGGTGATTGAACAAGTGTAGCCATTGTGTGATCAACCCGCAAGAGAACATAAAGTCAACAGAGTTCTTTGGCAGCTAGCTTCGCCATCATCGGGACTGATCATGTGGAGCAATGAATGTGAGTTTTAAAGGCATGTCCGATAAGGCGTAGGAAAACCACATGTCATCAACTACATTAAAAGTCCTAAAAGTATAAAATGGAGGCCATATGAATCCCAAAATATATCCGTATTTGAAATCTAATCCACATATTATATGGATTGCAACTTTAGGCCATATGAATCCCAAAATATATCCGTATTTGAAATCTAATCCACATATTATATGGATTGCAACTTTAAACTTGGACATCCCTGACTTTTAGTATATTGTGAAAATAGGTCAATGTTAAATTTTACTGTTCTGCAAAACTATCTGCATACGAGACTGCTAGAATTATGTATGATATATATAATTATAAAAAAACTGTCAGATGAATATACAAGCAAGGCCCAACCATTGGGTTTACTATCTGATCCAATCTAGATTCCTGCCTACTTCTGCGAATCCAGTTCTCCATTCTCTGCTTCCGTAAGAGGGTTAAGCTCGAATATTTCTCACAATTCTACTGTCTAACATATCTAGCAAGGATCTGTTTTATCCCGATAATGGTCGGACAGACACATTAATCTTCAAGTACAACGCCTTTTAATTTATACTCTCTGTTATTTCTATTCCTCCTACATATCCCACCAAGAAGAGTCATTTCAGGTAATAATTCAGGTAATAACATGCGCATGCCTCAGAATCAATAGGCCTTTTGACCCCAGCCAGGGTTTGCTTTGACTCGCAGTCCACGTTGTTAGGGCCTCTAACGCTGCTTCCCTTTTGATTAGAGCCGGCATCAGTTTCATCATCTGAAGACACAATGACCAATATTACTGACTACTGATATGCAGCATCCACTAACAACGCCTACTATGATGGTAAATAAAGATGCTTCAACATGTTGCAAGCAAACCAAGCGATATGAGGCCATAAAGGAAAGACAGTAGTACCTGAAAAAGTGGATAGAGATATCTGAGAAAGGCGTCTGACAGTGTCCTTCAGTGCCTGGAGTTCAGCTTCCTTCTCATGGATTTTGGACTGAGCTAAATGCAATTCAGATTCCAGCTCTGCAATCTGGTTTTCCTGCCGTTCTATCAGCAAATGATTTAGTCTCTGACTCAGTTCAGATGCCAATACTCCCTCGAATTCAGTTTTATAACACCCATCATCTCCAACTTGAAACTGCAAAAGAATTTCTTCGTCAAACCCACACAGAACGGCGGAAGATGAATGAAAAAAAAGGGGCACCAGAGGTGCACAACAGAATGAGAGGGTCATACTTTTTGAATCATAGCACAAACTACCCACGACAGATAAGACAAAGTAGTTTTTTTAAATATATATATATATATGTATATATAATCCCATAAGACTTCGGGAACAAAATTATCTCATCTAAAGCTGAGAGAAATGAATACTGTAAGTAAATAGGGGGCATATATTCGTGTGTGAGAGTGAGACCAACACAAGGGTATCCAGGAAATTCACCTCGTGCAAATTTGGTCCCATTTCTTCAAGGGAGGGACTGTCAAGAGTACACCCAGGAAGCTTTTGAAGTTCAAGCTCAAGTTCTGCTTCCAGTTGTTCCAATTCTGGAACCGGTTGAGCTGATTCCTCTGTAAGAGAACTGCTTCCACATTCACCATCTTGACTTGCTGCATGAAGACTCGAAGTTCTGACATATGTGTCTCTGACCTCACTGCTTGTATTCTTGAGAACCACTTCATTCCTATCACTTATTTTGCACGAGTTCAAATCATTATGGTCGACAGAATCTGAAATTATCCATGTACTTGATGATCTTCTTCTGCAGAGCTCAGATTTTAATTCCTGAACAACTTTAGCTGTTTCATCCATAGTCTTGTTCAGCTTGCTGATCTCAGATTTTCCAGCAGACATCATATACATGATTCCAAAGCCAAGTCCCTGACCAAATAAGGAGCCATCTGAAGGAGTAGAACATGACATCAAATTCATTGTTTTGAAAATGAAAAACAATTCTTGTGGCTGTAATTGTTACTCTGTTTCCTTTTTAATTAAAAAAAAAAACGAAAAACAATATGTCTCGTAACTAGCAGCAAAGAAGAGATATAAAGTATAATAGCAGTAACCTACGAGCATGAAAAATTGAAAATAACGGATATGAAGTTGCAGATTATTTTAATCGATATGTAAAACTCTAAGAATATTGCATATAGAAAAATACTAAACGAACTAGGAGTTTTTGTTGCCACTCCGGTCTAACGTTGTTAGTGGCGGTGGTGTTGCCTATTGAATCCCAGTAACACCCCCCCGGGGGGAGGAGCATGAATTATGATACAGCTGCCAAAAAACTCAACGAATTCAAAAATTAAAATATGAGGTTCAAGGACTTCACAAGGTTTAAGGCTTCTAATTATCAATCACGAACAAAAAGCCTGGTTTAAACGGAGAAAATAATTGAACCGCAAAATTGACAATAGACACGAAATTCAGATTTTAAATGGAAGCACAAAAACATTGAGAGCGAAAAATTAATAGGAAATTACTGTGGTATGATGGCATAAACGGACAACATTGATAGAAAAGTAACATCTCCATAAATCCATAATAATTCATACCAAGAGGGGGAAATTATCGACTCTATGGAGCCAAACAGAACGAGGAAATGAATAATCATACCTTTGGAAGAACAAAATCCTGTTTTGCCAGCTAGATTCTTGATGGTCTTCCTTCTCTTCAAGCAAAATGATAATCGCTTTCCATCCTTACTCTGCTCCGATCGTGCCTGTACATCAGATCTCTGCTCCATCTTTGCAATTTTGACCCCGTTCTTGGACCGTCGGCTCCTGAACAGAGGTTTCTGTCGAGAATCACTAGTCCGAGACCGAAGCCCAGGTTTCCTCAGAGATTCCGAACTAGAAAACCTGAAGATCTCGCCTTGTGTGTCGGCGTTGATTTCGAATCCAGATCCCGAACAAACATTAGGAACCATAGGGGGCAGAGAAAGTGGGTTCTCAGATGTTATCCCAGGGTCGTCGTCATTATGGTCGCATTGCTTGGTTTGAGCGAGAAAGCGGTTAGCGACGAAACCAGTGGATCCGGCAACAGCAGCAGCTAAGAGAACCTGCCACATGATGATAATGAAGAAAAGGGATATGATGAACAGCGAGAGAGACCCCAAAATTAGCAGAGGGCGGTAGGAATAGGATCAGCATTCAGCAGTGAGAAGTGGGAAGCATGGAAGTAGAGTGCAGTAGTAGGCATTGATCGAAGGGAAGAAAGCGGAAATGTGGTGTGAATGTGTATTGATGTTAGCTGCTTCACTGTCACGTGCTTCCCGCTTCTTCCCATTTTTGGTTTTGGATCTTTTCGGTTTTGGACTTCCACTGCCTCCGCTTCTGAGTCTCGGAGGAACATTTCTTGATTCCTCTACTCTTGTCTAATCGTCAACTTAATGGATTCCATGGGCTTAACTTGTCTCTCTCCCCTTCCTCCACGTGGGAATCTTTTCAAAATTAAATATTTTACTTTGTATAATTTAAAATAAATAATAATAAAATTATTTTAAAATATATAAATAATAATTTAATTTTTTAAAATATTATAATTTTTTAAAATTTTTTAAAATTTTTATATGATTAATGAATTTATATAAATTATTAAATTATCCTTATTGAAAATAAATTATTTTAAATTTTTTATTTATTGTTACATTGTCGTGAATTAAAAAAGAGTTGTAAATATTTAAAAAAAATTTGTGAATTATTTATTTTTAATAAAAGTAATTTAATAATTTATATAAATTTATTAATGACAAAAAATTTTAAAAATTTTAGAGAAATAATGAAATTTCAATAAATCAAATTATTGTTTATATATTTCAAAAAAAATTATTATCATTTTTTTATTTTTTTTAATCATTGAATGACCCATTATTGCAGGATCTACACACATGCATTTTAGGCTACGGCACTACAGGGTTTTTCCTAGCAATACATTTCAATTTTTCAACTCTGCGAGGGATTTGATTCGCGTTATTGATTTATTAGAGACAATAATTGAATTGTTATAATACTCAAGAAATTATATTTGCATCCATTGTAGATATCATAAAGAACATCTCTTTAATCAATCAAGAGACACGACTTGTGCTGTTAAAAAACATCAGACTGCAGTAAAATAAAAGAGAAAACATCCCCTGATCGAGAAGAGGTCTTGAGGTTGTCATCTGCAGATGTCACAGAAACATCACTTAACCAACGAAGTCCTTTTGAAAAGAAAAAAATGCATTTCCAATTTCACAGATTCTCATGTGCTTATTCATCTTATTATCTCCATTCAAGCCATCCAATTTACCTATTCTAATGCTAATAAGACAAACTTTCCGTATATTGAATAGTAATAGTTGTTGGCTACATAGCCCAATATATTTACAGCCTTATATAGTGACAGTACAAACCCTAGAATACATGTAAAATGTACACGTGTAATAATGGACTGTAAAAGAATGAAGAAGATGAATATTATACGAGTAAATAAAAGAGGCCCAGCTCTATTGGGCTTATATTTATGTTATGGGCTTTACTTATTTTTGAGTTTTGGTCTTAAAATTCCCCTTCAAATGAGAGTTGGGCTATGCATCAAATTGAATTTGCCTCACAACCTACAGAAATGCAAGTGAGAAAGTGCCTTGGTAAATAAATCAGCCAATTGTTTAGAAGAAGAGACATATCATACAACCAGCTCTTGATCGAGAACTCGATCACAAATGAACTACACATCAAGTTTGATGTGCTTAGATCTAGCATGGAAAATTAGGTTCGAAGCTATGGCAGCGGTGCTAATATTGTCGCACCAGGCAATCAAAGGGCGACGAAGAGGCAAATTGATCTCAGAAGTTAGGGATTGAAGCCAAGCTAGCTTAGCCATAAGGTTAGCTAGTGCACGATACTTACATTCTGCACTGGATCTTGACACAACTTGTTGTTTCTTAGTTGACCAACATCTGAGAGAGTCACTGAGAAAGACACAATGGCTACTAATAGACCATCAATCATTTGGACATACAGCCCATTCGGCATCTAAAAAATCTTGTAAGGTAATATGGTTATCTAGCTTTATGTGTAGACTTAGATCAAAGGTATTGTTGAGATAGCGCAATATTCTCTTTAATGCTTGCCAATGAATCTTCGTGGGTGAGTTAAGAAACTGGCTTAGTTTGTTTACAACAAATATAATATCTGGTCTAGTGTTAATTAAGTACTGTAAGGCGCTAATGATTTGTCTGTAAGGTGTGAGATCCCTAAGTAGAACTCTATTAGTCTTAGAGTAGTACTCATTAACTACCATTGGAGTAGGGATAGCTGAGCAGTGTTCCATGCCTGATTTCTTCAATAAGTCTAATATGTACCTCTCTTGTTTGAGATATAGTTCGGTCTCCTTTCCGTGACCTTCATTACTTAAGAAGTGATGAATAAGACCGAGGTCTTTTAAGGAAAATAAGGTATTAAGATGCTTGATAAACTTTCTAGTGTGCTTAATGAATTGCTAGTAACTATGATGTCATCTACATAGATTAAAACATACAAAATGATACCTTTCTACTTGAAAAAGAATAAGGAAGTGTCACACCTAGAGTTTATGAATCCCTATTTGAGTAAGGTACTTTTTAGCCATTCAAACCAAGCTCTGGGGGCTTGTTTGAGTCCATAAAGAGCCTTTCTGAGTACGCACACATAGTTAGGATATTTAGGATGAACAAAACCTTCTGGCTGCCTCATAAACACTTCCTCTTATAGATAACCATTCAAGAAGGCATTATTAATGTCAAGTTGTTGTATAGGCTAATTAAATGTAACAGCAGTAATAAGAATAAATCTTAGAATTGTAGCCTTCAAAACAGGGCTAAAGGTCTCATCATAATCAATTCCAGGACTTTGTTGAAAACCTTTGGCCACAAATCTAGCCTTTCTTTTCTGTAATAATCCTTCTGCATTAAATTTATTCTTGAAAATCCATTTACAATCCACAATATGTCTTTGACTAGAAAACGATACCAAGGTCTAGTACCACTTTGAATGAGAGCTTTATATTATTCCACCATTGCTTCTTTCCATTCAGCATATTTGAGGGCTGCTCTGGCACTATGAGGTTTTTCTAATAAGATAGATTTAGTTTGCGCAATACTCACATAAGGAGCCTTAGGTTTATAGATGCTAGCCTTACTTTTAGTGACCATCTGATGTTAATTACCTATTACAACAAGTTTGTTAGAAATCTAAATGCTATCTATAGGTGTTTCAATATCTTGACTTTGTAATGCTTTAATATTGACTGCATTAGAAGAATTTCTTATGGATGTTGACTGATCTTTATTGTGATAGGTGAGATTCATGCGATAGAGATGCTGGAGTCATATGTGGTGTAAATTCAAGAACTTGATCAGTGTTTTCTACATAATTGATGAGTTTGAACAAGTACTTGATTTAAAAGTGTAGAGTGGAGCAAAGAAGATACTAGGATCTACTTGATCTTTAGGTGAGCTCCTTTTATTTGCAAAACTTGATTCAAAAGGAAAATCATTCTCATTAAACACTACATGTCTGGATATAATAATTTTACTCGTAGATGTAAGGCACTTGAAGCCTTTATGAGAGTTACTGTATCCCAAAAACACACATCTAAAGGGCCTAAATTGTAACTCGTGTTGATTGTAAGGCCTTGGGTAAGGATAGCAAGCACAACCAAACACCTTTAGGTTATCATAGTTAGAATTTTTCTCCATGAGTCTTAGATGAGGTGAAATTCCACCTAAAATAGTAGAAGGTGACCTATTGATAAGTTTAGTAGTAATATGAAAAGCCTCCTACCAATAATGTAGATGCATTTTTGCTTGAGCTAGAAGTATAAGGCCAATCTCTGCAATATGCTTATGTTTCCTTTCTGCCCTTCCATTTTGAGCAGATATGTGTGGACATGAGTGTCTAAACACAATACCAGCATCATTAAGAAATTTAATGAAGCTACAATATTCACCTTCCCAGTTACTTTGAACTATTTTGATTTTAGTATCAAACTATTTTTTTTGCATAGTTTTTGAACTAGATAAATATAGGTAATGCTTCATCTTTTATTTTTAGAGGGTAGATCCATGAGTAGCGATTGCAATCATCAAGAAACAATATGTAATATCAAAAACCATTTTAAAAGGCTAGAGGGGAAGGACCCCATAAATCTATGTGTATTAACTTAAAAGGCTTAGTTGCATGTGAAATAGATAATTTGAAAGGCAATGAATGAGATTTACTAAATTTACATGACACACAAAATATAGGCTCATCTTTATGAGTAATTTTTAAGTTACATTCACTAATAACTTGTTGCAAAATTCTATCATTGGGATGTCCAAGTCTATAATGTCATAATTTTTTACTAGTGCTATAGCTAATACTATCTTTAAGTGCTGTATCATCTACTTCTTCAGCAATTAAGATTGATTCTTTTTTACTACTCTCCTCCTGAGCCTTTCTTCCTTGTATTCGAAACATGCCACTAGTCGAGTTAACACAAATACTATTTGAGTTAAACACCACATCAACATTATTATCTATTGTAACTTTATACACACTAAGCATATTTTTGTTAGCTCTTAGTATATAAAGGATATTTGCAAGCTTAATACTTTAATTAGAAATGTTTTGCATAGTGGAGGAACCTACTTTTTCAATATGTAATTTCTCACCACTACATGTAACAATTCTAAGCTTACCATTTGTGTCAACAGGATTACTAATGCAAGTAAGATCATTGGTCACATGACTAGTAGCTCCACTGTCAAGATACCAAGTATCATCTGAAACATATTCAAGAGTGGCCTAAAAAGCATTATAATTAGACGTGTTTCTATCATTGGGATTTTTCTCGCTTCCGCCTCCCTTGGTAAAGTTTCTATCAAAACAATAGAAGCATTAATCAACAAGGTGTCTGAACTTGTCACATAGCTGACATTGAGGACGCTCAAAATTGGTGTTGTTTTAGTTTTCAGGAAGAGTAAAGAAGTCACGGCCACCACGAGAGAAGTGAGCGCAGCCTCGACATCCACCACAACCACGTGGGCACCAATTTTCCCTAATAGTAGATTAAACTTGAGCAAGGTTGTGTTGAGAAGTTTGAAGCTGGGAGATTTGAAAAAGCTAACCTACCTGACTCTCAAAAGTGAGCAACTCAACTTAAAAGTCAATCCAATTAAGTTCATCAGATTCCTTGGCAAGTTGAACCATTACTGGGTTATACTTAGCATCAAGACCAATAAGTGTTTGAAGAATAAGATCAGGCATATTGATAGGATGTCCAACAATAGTGAGTTATTTTGAGATATGCTTCATTTTAGAAAGATAGTCATTCATAATAGACGTACCCTTCCTGGTACATTGAAGTTCCATGCAAAGCCTAAGAACTCTTGCCTTTGTTTGAGCTCCAGTAGGTTGTTTGGCTGCCTTTCATAAAGTTGCAGCAAAGGTAATGTGAGTCATTTGAGAAGAAATATTCAGAGTCATGGTGTTTGATAGCCAACCAAATAATATTTGATTAGCTGCAACCCAGTCTTTAAAATCTTGGGTTAAGTTTCATGTTGCCATTTTCAGTAATAAACTAAGGAGGACAAGGTTTAGTATCATTAAGGAGGCCTTAAAGCTTAAAGCCCCTGATGATTGGTAGAACATGAGTCTGCCAAACAGTGAAGTTGGTTCTGTCTAACTTGACAGAAATTCCCGCTAGAAGAGATATAGGGGTACCAGCAATTTTTCCAAGGTCTGTGGCAGCAAGGAATGAGCTAGATGCATTGCTGGATGCATTTGACGAGTGAGCAAAAGGAGATGATGTGGCCATTGGTGATTTACCTTTCTTTGCTCTGATACCAAGACAAACTTTCTGCATATTGAATAGTAATAATTGTCAGCTGTAGAGCCCAATATAATTACAGCCTTATATAATGACAGTACAAACCCTAGAATATATGAGAAATGTACACGTGTAATAATGGACCGTAAAAGAATGAAGAAGATGAATATTACAGAGCAAAAAAAAGAGGCCCAGCTCTATTGGGCTTATGTTTGTGTTGTGGGGCTTTATTTGTTTCTGAGGTTTGGTCTTGACATAATGCTAACACCGTTATTCATTTTCTGGCACCAGACTAAGTTGTAAAGGGAATGGCGGGCAAATGGGAATCAAATCCTTTCCCCTTTTATAAGATAGATAACGCCGGCAAGTTCATTCAACCAGAGAGAATAAAATGACAGGATCATTACTTTTCTACCAAATATATGTGCATATATAATCATTACGTTGAAAACATCATCAAAAAGTTCAGACCATAAAGAATTGAGCTCGAGAAAATCCTGACTTGGCTGAAATGATCGACTTGAGATTCTTGCTGAGTTGGTAACAAGTTCAATGTATAAGCTAACAAACAAGAGGAGGACGAAAACAAAGGAGAACTTGAGCGCCAGTCATGTATTCTGGCCTGTATGGTTCCTAGAACAGCTACATATTTCACATCCCTGCTTGAGTGCCTAGTATCACCATAGGAGAATCCTCAGTATTGAAACTATCACCAAGCATTAAGTTTACATATCGCACAAACACCGAAATGCCTCGCTTATAGAGGCCCCTAACTATATACAAACGGGGGCATTATTGGTCGCACCGACCTTCGGCACAAGACTGGTTTCGATAGCAATATTTCAACACCCACGGCACAACCACTCAAAACAGCAAAACGAATGATACATGGTATGAGTAGTGGACCCCAAGATAACAAGATTGTCCAGATGAACCTTACTTATATTATTATGAGTAAAGTTACAACTTCCCTTTATCACTCTAGGGAAATTTTCTTCCTAATCGTGTTTTTAAATTTGCTTAAAACAACCAACTAATAAACAAGATAAAATATACCCAATGTCTATAAATAGCATCTACATCAGCCTTTATAGTAGTTCTATAAGTATAGCGCATGCTCTGAGGCTCCCTGCACTAATATGATCAAGATGGCCCTTTGATTTCTCTGAAATCTCAGGCTTTAACTGAATGCACCAAGACAAGATGATTATTCAATAATTCCACCAACATTAGCGAAAACTTATCCTGATAGATAAATTTGGAATTGTGGCAGCAGTATACCTGGCAAAAGGAACAAGTAAAAACGCATTTGTCACAACATGGAGTAACATAATATGCAAACCTGAAAACAGACAGAAAGCCATTCCGTACACCACCTGGTTTTGAATATTTCTTCACTTTTTTACACTAGATAAAAACTTAATTAACGAAAATATGGATAGGAAAGATGTCATTTACAGGGCTTGTGATGTTATTAATGATACACAAGGAAATAATAAACTAAAAGGCCACTGTCCTCAGCATCAAAAGCCCAGAGATACTTTCCTTCCTTGAATTATTGCTATTATTAATTTACAATAACTACATCCCAACAAACACTGGGAAGTGAGATGGCTGAGGCAGGGTGAACATAGCATTTATATAGATTTGATGAATCATACAGCAGAGTCTTGCTGCTAAATCGGAGAGCTACAAATGGGATGGGAGAATTCATAATCAAAGTGCCAGACAACCATTGGCAAAGAACAAGATAATCATTAATAGATTTGAATGGTCATCTGAACCAATCGGCGAAAACTGTTTTTTTCCTTCTAAACTTTCCTTGCAACTGTCAATTAAGAAAAAGATTCTAGATTCCTTCCATGAAGGACTAAATCACGGAAATTCTATGAACAAGTGTTTCCCATGTTGTGTGCTTGTTAATAGTTTCCTTCACTTCATAAAACACCATTCTACCAATTATCACTCGCAGTTCACCCACTCTGTTCCATTTTTTATTTAAAAAAAAAATCTCCCCAATTCCATAAGCAATCTTGCAGCGCTCAGTTGCATGACTTACAAGAAGTTTCCCTATGATTGAATGAACAACAAATTACACATGCCAAACCATCACAGAACACGGCATAAATAATTTACGACATTCTAACTCTACAAAAGCATCTATAAGGTTCCCTTTCCTCAATTAGCACCCCTACATGGACTGAAAAGACTCTACACAGACTGCTATTTTCAAAGAGTTGTATGTACAAAAAATAACATATTCTTATCGCATAGAGTTTTAAACAGTTTACTTCCCATAATAAGAGTCACTGAAGAGCAGATAATAGTATGCTTGGAGAAATAATAATTAATCTTGTTTTTAACTTTTAAAAATTGGAAGGTAAATAGAAACACAAGTTTTCCTCAAAAAATGACAATTAAAAGAACCGGAGATAGTATAACACATTTTTTTAAAATAAAAAAAAATCATGCCTTTTGTTCTGGACTGGAACCAAGTGAAAATTAAAAAGAAAAGTATACTTGAGGTCAAAACCTTGCAGATAAACTAAAATTTTGCGTAATAATTTCTTTACACTTAAAGAATTAAATATATCTGCTGGGACGGGCGTTTTTGCAATGTTATGGTTGATTGCGACTCAGCAAAAGCTGTAAATATGGTCACGAGAGAATGCCACAAGCCATCCGATAAAGGGTCTTATCAACAATATTAACCATATGTTAGTTAAGGAGTGGGACGTTATTTTGGATCACATTTATAGGGGATGAATTGAATTTTATTGACCCTAGGAGGTTAATGGATATTGATAAACAGAGAGTCTAATTTCCCTTTCATTCCATAATCTCCTCGACCCAAACATATAATAACAAACAACTCTCGAGATCAAGAGGCATTGGATATGAGAGAATAAAGCACAAACGATGAATCTAAACTGCTTACCAGTAGAATTTTACAAGCTAATAGCAAAATCATAACACAAACTACTAATCATCTACAGTGGAACAACTGCCAAATTTCACGATTAGTTGGCAACACCAACAACCTACGAGTCCATCAATTAGAGCAAGAAAATTAAAAAATGATGATGATGATGATAGAAATAAAAAAATCGTGAACAAAGCCTCTTCAAAACATTATAGACACGCAGAAACTTCCTAAGCGCGAAATTCATAACAAAGCAAAGACACGAAGCCAGGACTTTGATTTTTTTTTTTTTTAACGGGAGAAAAGGACAGCAGGTTATATTCCTACGTACCGATTTATCTCCTAAGAATCAGTCAGATTTAGAGTCGGACGCCAGATTTTCTCTTGCAGCCCTGGCATTGTCATACTCAAACTTCAACACATTATGGATATGGGAAGTATCCTTAATATAGAACTGCCTTCCGAATGCACTCTCTTCAATAGCAGGGAAGTACTGAATTAAAATAGAATTGACGACCCGAAACCATGACGCGCCAAGAAAAATTCCCAGAGTAGCTCCTGCAAAAACCTGAGCCATAGTGTGGTAACCCAGATAAACCCGAGAGTACATGGTTAAGAATGCCAGAGACCATATTATAAAATTCAGGATCAAGTTGTTCTTCGAATCCCAGAACCCGATCCCTTTACTAGTCAAGAGCGTGAAGTAGACGGCAAAAAAGAACATGTACTGAGAATGACTTGAGGGCCATCCATGTGAATCGCACATCTCCAGCAAAGCACATGTCTCGGGACGTGCTTGTTGAACCGAGGTCTTGATGAACTCGTTGATAAATTGGGAAACGAGAAGGCCGAGAGCGAAGAAAATTCCCTGGAGCTCGCGACGAAAGATGAAATGAGAAACGAAGCCACCGAGACTGATGAAGACCGGGACTAGCGACACCCAGGCCAGAAAGTGGCCGAGCTGGTCACCCTTTTGGTACCGAACATGGGTCAGAGTCACGGCCTTGAGCGGTGGCGTTGCCATGGTAAAGAACAGAAAACGGTACGGAAGTCTGGTACTGGAGCTAGGAGTTGTGTAGAACTTAGACTGATCAGATCTGACACATCAGAGGTTTTGATAATTGAAGGGGGGAAATCTAGGACCAATTCAGAGTGAAACTAATGGGATAAAACACGGAAAATTATTGGCATCGAATTGCATCGTTTACAAATTGTGAAGATTCGAGGAGGGTGAAGTTCCACCTGGACGGCGATTGCTTTCAGAGAAACCAGTAGAGGAAAGGGCTAAATCCGAGTTCTGAATTTCAAAAATAAATAAATCAATAAAAAATTAAACTAAAATTATTTTTATTTTATTATTTTAAAAATTAGTGTTCCTAAAACATGTTTTAAAAATAAAAAATAATAAAAATAAATATTTTTTTATTCTCTCTTATTATTTAAAATAATAATTTCAAAACACTTTAAATTGTTTTTATTTTTTTATTTTTTAAAATAATATTTTATTTTTTTATTCTTTAAAATACATTTTGAAAATACATTATTAAATAAATTTTTTTATTTTTTTATTTTAAAAAATTAAAAACTATTCTTAAAATATGTTGTCAATCAAGCCCTCAAACTTCGGGAAAATAGCAACTTAAAAAAATACAACTTTTTTTACATGGGAAAAAATAATCAAACGGCACAAAAGAAGGGGAAGGAGAGTTAATAACAAAACGGCGCAAATAGATTGATTATGAACAAGTCTCCTAAATTTTGCTTATTATCAAAAATTCCCAAAAGATCTATTAAGCAGCTGGCTTTTGCAACACCTTTCTTTCCTCTCAAACAGCTGGCTCAAAGTTGCGGAAAGGAACTATTTTGTGTATTATTGTCATTGCAATTGCAAAATCAACTTCACAAGGCCCCCCTTTCTTTTTTGTTTTTTTTAATTTAAAACTTATTTAGGTAAGTGTTTTAAATTTAATTATTTTTAAAACCATTCTTATTTTATTAAAAAGATAACAAATAAAAATATTTTAAAGTTATTTTATTTTATTTTTCTTGTTTATAAAATATACTACATCTGATTATTGAAAATTTTAGTTAGCTTTAACAATTACTATTATAAGTCATTGACATATTTCATTATTTGCATACATTTAATAATGATTTTCTTATATTATTGCATCGTTGGGAACTCAATTCTTGTATATTTAGACATTTTTATGCCTTTAGAATTACTTAGGGTTCATTCATAGTCTAGAAATATTTTGATCATTTGGATAATTTTTGGACAATTTTGGGACATTAGCTTAGTTTGTGTCTTTTGTCTTTCTAAAATCAATGAAATAAGTTTGACATTCAAATTTATTATAAGTTGCAAAGTGACATCACAAAACATAAGTCATGAGATGTTCCAAGATAAAAATATTAATACTAGGTTTCATGTTTTATAATCTAAGACTTTGAAAATGGTATTGTATCTTGCAATGGACTTTAAATTTTGATTTGAAATTTTGTACACATGTTCTGATCATTCTTGTGTGTACAATTGCAAATGCAAATGAAGATTTAGATAAAGATTAAATGATCAAAAGATTAGATTACAAGATAAAATACAAAGCTAGAAGATCTTAGAGTGGCACGTAAGCAAGAGTTGATTCAAGAAGCTTCTTATGACTAAGCATGGAGGATTTCAACCAAAAAGGCCTTAACCACCCTTTGATCATTTTTTTTTAAAGTGTTTAGTGCAACATCCTAAAAATTTAAACGTGATTAATTAAACTTGATGACGGTAATTAAGTTTATTGATGTGGTTTGTGGTTTATGATCAAAGGAGTTTAATAAGTGTGTTTGATTATAATTTTAGCCATAAATTTGCGTCCAAAGTGAAATCAAGCCATTTAGGCATTAAAAGGTAAGAAAGGCTAAGGAAGGAGCCTCTGTGCCACATGCCACAATGTGTAGCTTATATCGTGGCGTATAAAGGCAAGCAACGAAAGACTGACTTTTCTATGCCATGTGTTGTGGTGAGTGATGATCTTTAGTAAAAATACGTGTTCAAAATCAAAAATCAAAAGAGGGAGTATTAGAAAACAAAGAGAGATTAAAAACCTCTACTAGGGCTTACTTCATTGAAGGTTTTGAAGCAATTGTAAGCTATCCTACTCTTAAGGTAAGATTAATGTGCTTTCTTCTCCCCTTTCCTTCTAATTTCATGAAGGTTAATATTAAGGTTTGAGTTGAGAGAGTGATTTTCAATTTATATAAGCTATAGGTCTAGACCTATAGGCTAAAATAGATATAATAGGAGTTTTTTTATAGTATTTAAAACCCCACATTAATGATTTTGTGAGTTGTTGGTTATTGAGAGTTATTAATGGCTGAAAATTAGCAATTATAAGGGTTGTTGGAAGTATTTTATTGCTATTAATGATGGTTTAATGGCTTATTAATGACAATGTAGATTATTGAAAACTAATAAATCTATTAGATATGTTTGAGAGTAGATTTTTAATTTTAGTTAAGAAAGAATGTGGAGTTAGGATGTTGGAAATTGCCCAAAAATATGGCAATAATGAATATTCTTGTGATTTTATTGTAGACTATCAATTTTGGCACCATTCAAGCTATTCGACAAGCTTTGGAAGTTGCGTTTTCAAGGGTAAACCTTTGATCTCTCAAAGGTTTGAGATAATTGGGGGAAAATTCAGTTTGTATAGTTATTTATTAATTAGTTATTATTGAATTTAATAATTTAGAACTTGTTTGGTGTTTGAAAACCATTGATGCAAATGTTAGCGATGTGATGAATTATGTATGTGCAATTATCTTAGATTATGGAGAACCATATGCATGTTATATATATGTAATTAGTAATGATGAATTTTCTCTAATTTTTCTTCATTTTCCTATACTTTCTTGGCCACATTCCTTCATCTAAAGCAAGTATTGAAACCATGAAAGTTATCTCAAGGAGAATTCAAGCTTGGATTCAAGGAAATTCATTATGAGAGGCTAGGTTCTCAAAGCTTTCCAAAGAAGATGAAACCACATCTTAAGTTCTCCTAAACCTTTTCTCTTGCTTTCATTACTTTCAATTCTTCTCTCCTCCTTCTTTAATTATGTAATTCATGCTCTTGATGATTGATTCTAGGTCTTAGATTAATCATTATGGTTGAAATTAATGTTGATGTGTATTTAATTCTTAAACTAGGTATGCACTCTAAGTACTTGTGTTTATGCCTCAAAATTTTGATAAACGAATATATATTTTCATTTCAATCTCTTACTGTTTGGATGTGAATTAGCTATTGTTTAAGTCTTAAATTATAATTAATATCATAATCTTGATTGGTTTAAGGTATTAAACATAATCAAGATAAGAGCTTAGATTAGTTTCAAGGATTGAATCACAAATTGGTATATCTATTTAGGTGGTTTGCTGTAACATCCTTGATTTTAAACCAATGTAATTAAGCCTGATTAGATTAATCAAGTGTAATGGTGAGGTATGTAGCTAGAGAGGCCTAACAGGCATGTTTGGTTTTAATTCTAGCCTTAGGAGCGGGTCCAAAAGAAGTCGGGTTACTCGGGAATGAGAAGAGGAAGAAATCTGAAAGGCAAGGTTCTGTGTCATGCACCACGGCTTGTGGATCAAGCCGTCACAGCACATGCATGCTAGCACACCTGGGAAGCCTTCTTTGTGCCATATACCGTGGCATATTAGTCACTTTTCTATTGAAATATAGTCGCGAATGAAGCAGAAGAAGAGAGAAAAATAAAGAAATATGAAGGAGAAATGAAAATGCTCTGCTAGGACTTGAGGAATCTAAGTATTGGGAGTGTTTTAGAGCTCATCAACACTAAAGGTAAGCTTCCTACACCTAAATCATCCTTCCTTCTTCCATTTTCTTAGTATTAGAAGTTAAAGTTTGGTTGATAATGATGATTTTTAGTCTATATAGGCTATGAGTCTGAACCATTGACTTAAATAAAATTAATGGGAGTAGATTGAGCTAATAAAACTTGGTATTTATAGAGTTATGATAATTGGTGGTTGGGAAGCAATAAATATCTGAAAATTCCCATAAATGTGTTAGTTGGGATAATGTGGCATCATTAATGGCCATTAAAAAATCTCAATGGTGTTAATAAGGGTTAAATGAAGTTAAGAAACTTTATAGGTATTATTACACAAGTAGAAAATGAATATTGAGCATGAAAAAGTATTGAGTTCCTAGCGAAAATTAGTTCAAAGGTAAACATTGATGAATTTCATTGTGATTGATTGTAGAGTAATCATTTTGACACCATTCAAGTTTCTTGAAAGCTTTGGGAGTAAGTAATTAAGGGGTAAAATCTTTGACCTTTTAAAGGTTTAAAGTAATTGGGGGGATTTTATTTTATACTTTTATGTGTTAATTAGTTTACTGATTAATAATTGATCATTTAAATGTGTAAAATGAAATAAAATGTAAGCGTGCCATGAACTATGTGGGAATCTACTAGGTTAATTTTTGTGAGTTTGATAATTTGTTCTATATAGAGTTTAATGACTTGTTTTGTATGGAGTTCAATGACTTATTTTATTTGGAGTTCAATGATGTGAATTGTGAGGTGGTACAACGATCATGAATTAGAGAAGTTTAATGATTTATGTATTATAGAGTTTGATGATATGGTTAAATGTGAGTACAGTGAATGATTGAGTATGTTTGAGTAATGAATACCTGCATGTGATGAACTATTACATATCTATGCATTACATAATCATGAGAGGCAGGAGTTCACCTGGGTAAAAGAGAACAAATTTAAATCCACATGGTACAGCTCCCATCTAAGTTGATGGCTTGCCCAAATCATTTATATTCATATTGTCCCACTGTTTCAACAAGGGACTTGATTCTAACTAGCTATCCACTGGTTCAATAAGGAAGCTAGTATAGAGAGTATGACACCCCATAATGTTAAAAAATGGAGAAAATTGTGTTTCACAATTAAGTTAGGAAAACCTTAGTCGGATAACCTCTCATAAGTGTTTAGGCTAAGGAAGTCTCAAATTATAGACTATCTTAGTGTATTATAGCCCATAGTTTCATGTCAGAGAGATAAAGAGGATATAAAGGAGGTGTGATCATGCATATAGTGAGAAAGGACACATGGTTGCTATATTGTGACCTTAATGAAATAATATATATGAAAGCTTTGTTCTTATAGAATGGCACTTATTTGATTAATTATCTTATAAATTGTATCGTCATGAAATGAGAATGAGGTTGTAAACTCTTA